GCATGCTGTTAGCAAGATGCAAGAGCTGGCACTGAAGGGGCCGAGGGAGGCCTGGAGTCTGTTATTGATAATGTTAAAACGAATTACAGCAGCTTGCACGGGCTGCTCTGGCCTCTTCTTTCAAACTCTGCCCACAGAGAGCTGCTTATGACTTGCAGCCTCAGCCTCTAGCTGTGAGTTCCCGACTCTGCGGCTCCTGACAGCTCCTGGGAGCTGTGTGCTCCTGTTGGCACCGCGAGGATGCAGTGCCCTGTGCCCAAAGCCAGATCTTCCCTCAGAGTTCAGCAGACAATGTTGCTCATTGGCCTCATGCTGCCCCATCCCATCCAGCACACGGGGCTCAACAGCACGGCTGTAAGTTTCCAGTGGGATCCTAAGAACAAACTAAGGTAGAAATCACCATAGAATCATAGAATGGCTTGGACTGGGCCTCTAACCCATCCAGTCCCAACCTTTGCCATGGGCTGGGACCACCCCCAGCTCAGGCTGCCCAAGGCCCATCCATAGCCTTGGGCACATCCAGGGATGGGCACCCGCAGCTCTGAGCCTCACTGCCCTCTGAGTAAAGAAATTGTTTAATGCTTCCTTTAATGCTTGCTTAATGCTTCCTGGATGCGATCAGGTTTGATGAGCAGTTGTATTTGGGAGCAGCTGTGGCTTGGTAGCCAAAGAAGTGACATTTCACTTCAGAAATAAAGGGAGAAACTGTACTACTGGTTTTCCATGTTTGACTGTTGGCATTGGGCCTTTGGGGTTCAGTTTTCCAGCAGCACCCACTATCTCGGTGCCTAGGAATTCACTTTTCCTACAAGGGACAGGTATCACAGGGCTGGAAGGAGTCCGGTGGGCCTTCCATGCCCTGGCTGAGCACAGGAACGTGGCATCGTGGTGTGTTCATGCGCTCCTCACTGCTTGTGGGGAGGGATGGTTACCAATGACTCTTACTGGAAAGCTGAACTTGTTTTGCCTCTTCTTTTTTTAATAAAAGATAAATTCGGTTTTAATCCCTTGGGCTTCAGGAACAGGAGCTTTGCAGGGGAAGAAGTCCCTCAGATGAGGGGTTAGCAGGGCTGTCAGTGTTCTCTCAGCTACCGCTCCGTCCCTTTCTAGCAACTCAAGGCGAGCAGAAGTGAGGAAAACTGTTTGCTGCTGTATGAAACTTGTACATATTTTTTTAATCTAATTGCTGTGGGGAAAACAAACATCAGTTTTATTTCGCACCATTTCTTGGCTCAGGAACTTGAGGCACATTCGCCAAATTGTGGTTTTGCAGTCATTGGATTGAGTCTCATTTACCATGAGGCCTCTTTACACCGCTCTTGGTTTCTTGAGGGACACGAAGTAGCTAAAAATGTCCTCTGCGACGTTATTGTAAAGAATTCTCAGTGTAAATGAGCATCTACACTCTGTATGTTTTTCATGTAAATGTTGGTTGCGGTCACAGCTGAATTTTGAAATTCAGTGTGAGCCATTGTGAGGGGGTGATTTTGCTCAAAAACAGCCTTGTTTGGGGTAAAAGAGGCCTCTTCATGTTTAAAGTGTTCTTAATTATGTCTAAGAAATAACTCATGGCTATGGAACCTTTTACTAAATTGAAATAAATTGTGAAAACATCAAATTATTCAGTTTTCAGAAGTTCTGGCAATTATCTGACATGTCCCTCTTCCAATGGTTTTGCCCTTATTAGTTGTCACAGAAGAAGTAATAAATTCTTTTATTATGACATCCGAAGTCCCAGCTGAAATGAGTTTCATTGTGCTGGGGACAAAACGGAAAAGTGACACTCCCTTAGCCGGAGGAGTCGTAGTCTGAAGCCAAAAGTAAGTGAAGGAATGGGAAAGTAGGTACAGCATACAGGCAAAAGAGGGTCATAAAGAAGTGGTACAGCTCTGCAAGTTATAGGGAGTGTGTGTTTCTCATCCCTATTCTTATTCTTTTTCCTTTCTTTTAAGAATAAAACAAGTCTTTCTGCTGAAGGCATTGGGATCAATCCATCTTTTCATCAAGAGTTGAATGTCTGTAATAGTAAAAGTTTAAGAAAAGAATACTGGATTTGGCATGTGGGTTCAGTAATGACCTTCGCCCTAAACTAGAAAATGTAAGGAACTGGAATAGTAGACTGTTCAGTTCAGCAGCTTTCATACTGGCATGTTCAATGGTGTCCCTATTGTCACTGCTTTTTTTCTTTCTCTGCCCTCCTTTGGCTCCCTGTAAATCTCGAATTGGTGGCAGCTGTTTGAGCCAAACTCAAGACACGTTGCATCACATCAGGGTTTAAGTGCTCAAAGGCAAGGGAGGATTGCTACTATTCCGTAGTATTCCTCCAGCAGCTCCATCTGTTCAGCTGAGGTCAATCACTAGCATCATGCAGCACTTCAGAGAGAGGGGAAGATGTTCTTTAATCCTGGCCAGGAAACTGAATTTCCATTCCATGATAATTTATTCATTCTCTGGGGGAATATTTCCAGCCAGTTGGAACAGAAAGCCCCAGAAACTCAACCCTGGCAGACTGTGTGGTGGACTTCAGCCCTCCACCTGACAGTGGGGATGTGGGGCACTTTGAGAACCAGGCACTGGGCTGCAGAGGTGGCGAAGATGGCATTGGGTGCAGTGCAGCAGGCTGACTGCTGCACCTGGGTCAGAACCCAGCAGGGCCTTGGGCCAGGCTGAGACCCACAGCTTCTCAGGGGTGTTTGTTAGGACTAGCCCATGTCTGCATCTCTTCTGCTTTCACCAGGTTGGTATTTGGTGGCAGGCAAAAACTCCATTACAAAATGTCTGACTGGTTCAAATGGCCTTGTTATAATAAAGAGAGACCGTGGCGTACCTATAAAAAGGTCTCCTTGTTAAGGGAGGTGGCTTTCTTTCATGCTGGGTTCCTTTTATATGATACGCTTTTACTCTTTTTCTTCACTATTTCCCACGCTGGAAAGAAAGATATTCAATAACAAAAAGTTATTGAAACAGAATGGACTCCCCTGGGAGTTTAATTTTGCAGAACTGGGTATATTTTGGAACATCCCATCTCTTCACCTTTGAGCCCTGGTTTGCATGGATGCCATACCTCCATGCAGAGCGCATTCAGATGTTTCTTTGGGGCAGAGGGGAGAATCAATAGAAGTCACTGCCAGAAGAAGAGAGTCTCTCTTGTAATGCCCCCTCGCACCCAAGGACAACTGTTTCCATGCTTGCCCAGCTCTCAGGGACCTCTGCCTGCTATACTGGCAGGGCAACTTTTTAATAAAACATCAGTTTTGGAACTTTTTTTTATGACTTACTCAGGAGAGGGACTTGACTTGCCAACTGTCTTCTCATTCATTGCAGTATTATCCACCCACTACTGCTGGACAATACCTTCATTTGAGTTTTATAAAAATGCAGACCTTTATGGGCTGTCATACATCTCAAAAACGAGTGCCTTCTAAAAGTGTTTATTCCATTTAAAAAAACCTGAAGAAACCCTCAAAAAAACAGGAGATCCCTGACTCCAGAAGGTCATCGGTAGCTTTGGCTTTCATATCATGAGTTTCTCAGGTAAACATCCATCCCAGCAAATGTCGGGAGTCTTTTGGCGTATTTGTTTTTTCCTTTGCTGTTCCTCCTCCTCTCCTTTCCCGTGATCAGAAGTAGCAGCATAAACTAGAAGCTGGTCTCAGAAAGGTTTTGAACTGAGTGCGCCCTACAGATGAATAAACACATTACCTTCCGAACCCTGGGATCTCTCTTCCAAGGGAAACAGGAAAAGGGGGAGCTCAGAGTCCCTAGCAAAATACCAGCGTGCAGAAAAAAAGCCCTGTTTAAATTTTTTTAACTTTCCCATCAGAAGCCTTTTTTGGAGGGGGGGTGGGAAGGGGGAGGAGACGGGAAGGGTGTGAGGAGAGGGGGGAAGGTGGGTGCTGGGAGAGGGGAGGAAAAATACAGTGAATGCTCCTGTAACCTTTGCTCTGTTGATACTAGACAAGACTGCACTGTTAATGAGTGATTGTTAACAGATGGCTGTTGAGCAACTTAGTCAGAAGCAGAAGATGTTATTTGGTTGTAGTGCTGGGAGGGTTAGGGTGCAGAGGTGAGGTAAGGGGATATTTAGTCTTTTCATGAGGACTGAACTGTCAGAGATTTATGATTTTTGGTTAGGTTTTTGGAAGTGAAGGCTTGGGGGAAGGAGTTTCTGTGAGCTGGCAGAGGAAGGCCATTGGTGCTGAAGGCTCTAATGATTATTTTTGCAGTCAAAGGGTCTCACCTCAGCCTGTGGCCTTTGAGAACTGAAAGATGGAAATATACATCTTTAACTTGCCAGCTCTCATGTCCCAGGCTGGGAGGAACGAGGTTCTTTCCATCTCTTGTTGGTGAGGATGTATCGAGAGAACTTAAGGTGTGGAACTGCACTTTGTATATGAGATAAATTATTCATGGACACCACTGTGTACCTTTTTTGTGCTGGTTTTTTTTTTTTTTTTTTCATGGATATGAGTTTGAAGGCTGCCTGAAAATGTTACACTTGCTCTCAGCAAATTTTGGGTATTTGATCATACAAAGATTATTCCAAACTGTGCTTTAGTTGGATTTTGTATCTACCTGCCTCTGGCCCTTGCTAGTTAAAGGGTTCAGGGGTGTGAGATATGAGTGAGATCGACAAGGATCGCTTCTCAAGAGCATTCTTGTTTTCAGCCGGTGATATATGGCTTGAATGAAGACGAGACCAAATGCACAGTGCAACTTCCTACTGATAGGAATTTGCAAACAATGTTTGTCTTCAGTCAGAAAAGGGGAATCCCACTCATACATGCCACTGGCAAATCTTTAATAGCGAATCTTAACATGACCTCCCACAGCTGTGTGCCGGATGATTTAATGTCTTTCTTGTACACTAACTTTCTAACGTGTATAGATGAACGTGTGTTTATACATATCTAGGGAGAGATTTATACAATATGAAGACTAATTGCTTTATTTGCTCTGTCATCCTTATTTATCCGTATTTCTCTTTTGGGGGCACGTAGGACTGTATGACAAATGTTCTTACACCTCCCGTGACCGAGGATGGGTCCTGGGGATTAACACCGTCAGTGACCAGGGGAATAGAGACCCCCGCTATTTCTTCTCTCTGAAGACAGACCGTGCTCGCAAAGTGACCACCATTGCAGCACATCGCAGCTACCTCCCCAACCAGTGGGTTCACCTGGCTGCCACGTACGACGGGCACCTGATGAAACTCTACGTCAATGGTGCCCAGGTAGCCACAAGCGGAGAGCAGGTGGGCAGCATCTTCAGTCTTCTGACATTGAAGTGCAAGGTGCTCATGGTTGGAGGAAATGCCCTGAACCAGAACTATCGGGGTTATGTGGAGCACTTCAGCCTCTGGAGGACAGCCAGGTCTCAGAAGGAGATCTTGTTGGACATGGGCCAGGCGATTCACAGACAAGACATGCCTCTACCTCAGCTAGTTCTTCAAGACAGTTTACTGAATGTGAAAAACACCTGGTCTCCCATGAAGGACGGCAGCAGTCCTCAGAGCAAGTCCAGCTACCATCACGGCTATTTGCTGGATACCAGCCTAGAGCCTCCTCTCTGTGGACAGACAGTCTGTGACAACACGGACGTCATTGCCAGCTACAACAAACTCCCCAGCTTCCGCCGTAACAAGATCGTTCGCTACCGTGTGGTAAATCTCTACGACGACAAACACCAGAACCCCACAGTCAGCCAGCAGCAGATCGAGTTCCAGCACCAGCATTTAAACGAGGCTTTCAGCCGCTACAACATCACCTGGGAGCTGGAGGTGCTGGAGGTGAAGAACTCATCCCTTCGGCACCGACTCATCCTGGCCAACTGTGATATCAGCAAGATCGGGGACGAGAACTGCGATCCCGAGTGCAACCACACCCTGACCGGGTATGACGGAGGAGACTGCCGGCATGTACGCCACACGCTGTTCAACAAGAAGAAGCAGAACGGAGTGTGTGACATGGATTGCAATTACGAGAGGTACAACTTTGATGGTGGGGAGTGCTGCAACCCGGAGATAACGGAAGTCACCAAGACGTGCTTTGACCCATATTCTCCGTACAGGTAGGCGATTTTTTCAACGAGCTTTTTCCATTCATATTAATGAGCATCTGTCTAGGTATTGATCAGCCTGCTGGCTGCTGAACCGTTGTGTTATCGACGTTATGAGTTGGGTGTTTTTAATGCATTTATTTTTTTCTTGGTATTTGGCTTACATTGCAATTACTTGAGTGCAATCTCAGTAATGGTCTCAACTGTGTATTACCATTGAAATCTTAACAATGTTGGAAGACCCATTAGTTGTTGGTTCTGAACAGTATGTTGTAGCAACACCTAGCTCACTTTGACCACAGACTAGATTAGATGCCGTAGGAAGCTCATATGGTTTCAGTCACTGTCCCTGGGAATGTTCAAGAAATGTTCAGATATTGTATTAAGGGACATGGTTTAGGGGGGAAACATTGGTGGCAGGTGAGTGGTTGGACTGGATGATCTTCGAGGTCTTTTCCAACCTCAGTGATTCTATAATTGTGTGATTCATGTGTATTTACAGAGTGAAGAGCCCTACAAGGCGTGTAACATAAATATTCCCAAGTAGTCTTAAATTTCGTAGGATGCCTTTGAAGATGGGCAGGTTATTCTATGTTCTTAAAGCTGTGAGAGTGCAGATTACTGTAAGAACTGCTGTAAGGGGCTGCTGAGTCTGTGAGTTATGAGGAGGGAAGTAGGTCCTCGGTTCTTGGGAGCGCCGTTGCACATGGTGGGTGGGTAACTCAGCTCTCCATAAACATGAAATCAGCAGTAATGCCACCTTCCTACAAATGAGGGAGCAGCTTTCTGTGGATGGATATGAGCTTATAAAACCTGAGATTCTCAGCTACAGCTTCCTCATGTTGTAGTTTAAAGGGGGCATTCCTGAGTTACTTGCATCAATCGAGCACCACATAGCTAGAGTTATTCCAACTGCTTTTTCGTCACTTTCAGACAAGAATTAGTGTGTTTGGTTAGAAAAAAAGTTTCTTGTTGGCGAGCTAGTGATGTAAATGCACAGGAGATGGAGGTGAAGGATAAAATTCTGTTGTCTGTATCCCATGTTACTGTTTTCAAGGGCAGTTCATGGAATCACGGTGAAAAGCCTTAAGACAGAACACCCTGTGTCGTCAACACTGAAGTTCAGGTTAAGAAGGAAAGTATGAGCTGTTCTGGAGTTCTAATTATATAAATTCAGGCTATATTTGTAATTTCCTTAGTAGAGAGAAGTTTTTAAACAACATTATCATCTCAATTGGAGCTTAAAATACACATAATTAAGCTGCAAAGAAACTCTTCCATTCCTTTTTTTTCCTCCACTCTAGTGAGTTTTTTTTTTTAAAAGCATCCGTATAGCTCAGCTTGACTTCAGTCAGTTATCAGTGAACAAGGCTCAAATGGGAAGCTACTTTAAGCACTAATTATTGAAAATATAAAAAGAAAAAATGCCAGTCTTTTAATGCTGTTCAACTGGAGAGGAACACAACTGAGCAAATATCATCAAAGGCGCAATGCAAATGTGGTTGTTTTAACACTGTCGTTCTGAGAACTTGAGGTGTTAGTTATAACAGCTATGACAATTTTTAGAAAAATACATTATTTTTAATCTGATAGTACCCTTTTATCACTTGTACTGTGACCAGCATAATACCCATGCAAAATGAAACAAGAAATGCCTCTTAAATTGTAGTTTTCAGATTTAAAGCTGGGCCTTAATGTTATTCTGACGCTCCTATTGTTTCTATTCCAAATGAAGTTTCTTTGCTGCACAGACTGTACTAGCACAAGCCCAAGCTAGCAATTTAATTCCAAGATGTTCAGTTACCTTAAGACAGCATACTTGCTTCTCATATCCATGTGTATGTTGTTTTTGGATACAACCACCTTGCTTGGCTCTTCTGGAGGGTTTGTGTGCAGCACCTATTCTCCAGTGGCACACATCAGTCACTATTGGAGGCCTTGAAGTTCCTCTTCCACACCACAGAACTCGAGTATATCTGTAGTCCATGTGCAGATTTGTTTGCAGTGTTTAGATTTATTTGGCTTTGCCTAGGAGTTGTAATACAGCACTCACCGTTGGCAGTGAGACCAAAGGCAGCAGAAGGCAGCCCTCTCTCTGGAGCCTTTTCCTGCTGGCCGAGCTCCTGCCTACACGGTGCTGGGTGCTCACAGTCGGTGTTCCACAACACAGCACTTAGAACTGTAGATTTGATCAGTGAATTTTGTTAAGATTGAACTCTGCTTGGAGTGTTTGAGCTAATGGGTACAGTTTCAGGGCAGCGGCTTTGTTAGCAAAGATTTCATTGACTAAAAGGGTGAAGACTCAAGTCCTGTGTTTGGCTGAGGGCAATCATCACCATCCCCTGAGAGAGATTTTGGTGCCAATTAGTGACTCAGTCAAAATGTGTGACTTAGTTGGCACCATCTGGGCCCATTTTGCATCACCAGCCCCTCTTGTCAGCACTTTCACTGGCAGCCCTCAGTCCCCTGTACTGCAGGCCTTGCACTGCATCACTGAGGGCACCTCCGCAGTGCCGAGAGCTCTCATCGAACTCCAGGTGTTTCCTCTGCCACAGTTCAGTCTACCAACAGCAGAAGAAAGAGAAATGAGCCCTTAGTTTGATACGGCTTCAAATAAAGTAAGATGGAACAGATGTTACCAATACAGCGTTCCCTGAGCTTTATGTTGTAGAGGCTCTTCAGCCTTCCTTGGTACTGGGAGTCTTGAGATGCTACTGGGTTTTGTTCTTCCTGCATGCTCAATGTCAGCAGTTGTAGCCAGCTGTTCACCGTGCGGAGTTTATTCCTGAAATAATTCTGCTCGTTGGAACCAACCAGAAAGTGCTAATGTTTGATTAATGCTGTTATAAACAGGAACCCTCTTCAGTGCCTCTTCATCCCCAAAAGGAGGTGGATTCATTTCCTGTCTCTTTCCTTCTTGTGTCAGTCTCAGTGTGACCATCTCAGCCCCAGCCCTTCCAGCCTCCATCCTGGGATCTCCTAATGTTGCTGTGGATATCTGTACAAAAAACTCTGTGTCTGCCTCTTGATGAGTTGTAACCCCAGATGCGATGGTACTGGAAAAATTGAGGCAACTCCAGTCTACATTGTAAGTTGCTTGTGATTTTTTTGGCACCTTGGACTAAGTTCTCAGGTGCTCTGATGGTGTCCTTCAGCCACTGATGTGGTGCAGCTCAAGGGTGTTGTTTTTTTTTTCTCCCAGCCTCTCCTTTTGACACCTATGCAAAATGTTTTCTTCGAAGAGCTGAGATTCTATGCCATATTCAGATAGTGGGGGATGTTGGGGATGGAAATTTAATCTGCAAAGATGTTTGCCAGAGGGACAGTTCAGAGGGACAGCGCTGATGGATGGGGCTCTGCTGCTCTGGGAGCTGCAGAGGAGAAAAGCTGTAAACACTGTTACCAACTAGATCATCTCTCCTCTTTGTTAGCAGCCTGCAGGGCAAAAAACCCAACATGACTGGTTATCATTATTCACATAACAGGCTCTATCCGAGACATCTGCCTAACTTCTTTTCACTAATTTCATGAGAGTGGGACAGAATGTGTTTAGACCCAGCACAAGGTTTGCAAATACTCTTCAGCTTTTCTTTATTTCTGCAGTTCTGGAAAGATGAGAACATGCTAAGATCAGGCAGCCTGTCCCAGTACAAAAGGAAGGAGCAAAGATAGACGTAGTTGCCAGAGAGACACATTCCTAGTGTTGTTTGGGATACTGCTGGTTACAAAATAGGGAAGACTGAGCTCATGACACCTACTATGGCTCCTTTTCAAAAAACTTGAAACAAACAGCAAGGGATCATAGGAAATTATCCTCTGTAAGTGCCATTTGATGTGGTGAATTCTTGCACCATACTATGGTTAACTGAACCGTTCCTTTTATGTAATATTGGGTTTTCACATCAGGCTTCACCACAGGATTGCATATACAGATAAGAAAGCCTCCCTCTGATGGCTTAGGAAAATACTGATGACATTCCTGAAACAGTGCAAGCTACTCCCTCGATTCAGACAATGCACTGAATACTTGTTGGAAATCTCTTCCAGAATAACTCACCATGGGGACAGTTTTTCTCAATATCCACATATGTGCCCTGAAGGCTCCTGTAGACCTTCTGTTCACCTCAAGGAGGGCAGAACACCTGCCTGCAAGTTCAGAGCGACATGGAGCTGAAGAACTGGAGCCCGGTGCCCTGCTGGTCCCAACCCTTTCACTATACCCTCCAACTCTTGGCCTGTACAGCTTGGCCAAGCCCTGCATTGCATTTCATCAGCTCAACTCATAATTGAGGACATTTCCAGTCATACACGAAACAGACTCTAAATACACATTTGAACCATTTGTAAAAACTTCTTCTGTGGTAGTTTTGAACTGCAGTAGCTGTGACAGAGCCTGAAGGACACAACGCGCTGTGCCATGTGGGACACATGAGAAGCAGGAGGGGTTGGCTCATCCTCAGCCTAGCTCAGCCTCATGCAGGTAGCGAAGTGGCTGCACGTCAGGGTTTTTCCATGAAGTTTCTGAATAAGTCAACCTCTTAACTGCCTTTCTTTCTTTTCCATTGAAAATCCTTTCACGAGGCTTCTTTGCAAAACACGGATCAATTTACTTTGGGGGAAGGAGGCACACGCAGTGCCTTCTTCTAGGAGCTGGGAGAGTTGTAAGAAATACTCCTTGATTCCCAAGAATGAATTAATTTCCACCTAATCCAAAACACTGAAAAGAACAGAAGAAATTCATCAAAGCTGTTCATTTCAAGAAGCTTGAGGACTTAATCCCCTGCCTTGAAGAGGCCATTGCACAGCTCTTGACATCAAGGATTCTCGCACTCACTCAGGTATCAGCAGAACTATAGCAAATATCTGAGTTTTTGTCTAGGGATTCGGTGCTAAATGTCCAGGTCTTTCCAAAGGGCTGTTTAGAAGGTGGAGAGATAATGCTCTCAAGGACAAAGTTGCTGTATCTTGGTAGTTTGCACCCAACAGCCAAGTCCCAACAGGAAATCCTCTGC